TTCCCAGACAAGAAAACTGAAAGGGGTTGCTATTTCCTACTCCAGGAGATCCTCTTGACCTAGGGATCGAACTTGCATCTCTGGCGTCTCCTGCAGGTGGATTCTTTACCACTCTGCCACCAGGTGCCAAAATCTAACCTAAACTGAATATATTTAGTAGAAAATCCTGAGACTTCTCCTAGTCTGTCTTTATCCCCTTTGGTATGAATAATCTTACATTTCATTACAGAAGTATTAATGTGCCTGATTTCTTATTATAAGACTTCACTGAGGGTGTGACATAGGTAGGGTACATTTCTGAATTACATAAAATGTTCAGTCACCAATTCAGTGAACATGCGTTTGAGCAAGCTCCTGGAGATGGTGAAGGACAGGGAAGCCTGGCGTGCTGCAGTCCATGGGGTCGCAAAGAGTCGGACACGACCGAGCAGTTGAACAACAAATTCTTGTGATGGACCACTGTGAGAATGTACTTCCTGTCAGATTAACAACAGTGCATTTCTTCTAATTTTCTAGGCTGTGGTTTAGCACCCTCTTCAAATCAAAATAATGGTGAATATCAGAGCATAGCTCTTGGCCATTTTTTAATATACATATATATGTATATATTTTTTGATACTGATCTAAGAAGAGGGTTCCATTTGTGTCGTGATGAGAGAAGCTTACATTAAAGAACAGCACAAGTAGATTGAGTAGAAAAATGATTGTCTATAAAAGACTTTTCAGTGTAACAAACTCCTCCCCCAAGTTAGTGGTTGAAAACAGCACTTATTTATTGTACTTTCTTCTTCTTCTTTTTTTTTTTTTTAAGTGAAACAGGTAAAGTGTTTATTAGGAAAAAGATTATGTGTGGATAGACACACACAGGCGAACTCAGAGAGAAAGTCGCCACGTATTTATTATCTTCATCAGTTCCTGAGTGTTGGGGATTCAGGAGCATCTTAGCTGGTTGGTTTTTGCTCAGGGTTCCCAGAAAGTTGTTATCGAAATGTGGGCCAGGATTTCAGACATCTGGAAACTGGAGCGTTGCTGGGGTGTTATGTTTCTTTTTCAGTGCCAACGAGCCCCTTATCAGTGCTTACAAAGAAGTCTAGCCTCTGTTTCTGCAGTTGTTAAAAGTTTACGTTTTCAGAATAAACCTAACAAGTATTTGCTAAAGGAGGGTTGGAGTCCTAATTTGTTCTGAAGATCTCTGCTCCAAGTCCCTTCTTAGGGGCTGTGCCTTCTCTCTGGATTTTCCTTGTCCTCCCTCAAGCGGCCTTGTTTTTTTTCTTTTTCCCCTCCCCTGGGTTCTGTCTCTGTTCCCTTAAAGTCGCCTCTTCATCCACCTCCTGTGGGTCAGTGCAAGCGTGTTGATGGCCCTGAGTCATGGTGCTAGAAAGCTGGTTGCCTCAGTGGAGCTTCTGCCCAGAAGACAGGCATTAGTCACAGTTGAAAATAATGAAATAGTGATTGCTGATGTATCTAAAAAAAAAAAAAGTGCCAGGAGGATACTATGTTGTTGTTCTGTCACTAAGTCGCATCCGACTCTTTGCAACCCCATAGGCTGCAGCACGCCAGGCTTCCCTGTCCTTACTGTCTCCCTGAGTTTGCTCAGACTCATGTCCACTGAGTCAGTGATGCCATCCAGCCATCTGTAGGAGACTCTTAACGGGATCTCACCCAATTTGTGACTTGTTTGATCAGTGCTTCCCCCTTTGTATTTTGGAGGAAGAGTAACCTGCCCTTAGGGTCTTGCTCAAAAATGTTTTCCCTCGGGGGCAGAAATGTGGAAGCTGTTCTACACGCCACCCCATGTAACGCTTGTATGTCCTCTCTGACTGCAGATGTTCAGAGGATGTGGTGTGGTACAGTAGAGAATTCTCATTCATTTTATGGAAGAGAGAAAAAGCTTAGGTTCATTTTTAACTGTGAAGTTCTTGTCTTTCTCACTATCCATTTTTTTTTTTTTCCATCTTCTTGGCTTCCCAAAAACTGATCTATGGGTTTCTTACTCATCCTTTTTCTCCCTTTCTTTCTCCACCAAATCTTTGCAGAGATGTTTTATATAGTGTTGGGAACAAAACATTTTCCTTTTCTGAGCTACTTCTGTTTTGAGTCTTATTTCTAAATCGAGAAAGAAAAAGTGAAGCTCTCATGAAGAGAGAGTATCAGGTATGGAAAACTGAAGGAGGAGAGTGGAAAAGACAGTTTTAAGTGAGCCACCTTCTGCATCTTTTTCTGTCTCTGCTGTCTTCCTATGTCTGAGCCAAGAGAAGTCTTCCCTGGGCGCCCATAACATATTAGGAAGCCATTGACAGAGTCCCAGGCAGCCTTTCTAATCTGTATCTTTGTCCACCTCCAAATACTCTCCCCTGTAACAGTGGAGAATTCTGAAGAGAGAGGTTGTTAGTACGATAAACCTTACACACAATTTCAAATATATAAAACAGGCATTAATTTGTGTTTTTTTTTGCTTTTTTATTACTACGCATGCAAGTATCTTGTAGAGGCTTTCCCCTGGTTAATCATCACTTATATCTCTCCCAGCTCTCTTTTTCTGCATAAGTTCTTCAACTAAATTTTTATATCTGTGAACATTTTTGTTTATTTTTTTTTAACTTTTAATTTTGTATTGCAGTAGGAGTGGCTGAGCATGCACACACGTGTGCACGCACACACACACACACACACACAGAGCTGATTGACAAATAGTGTTGTTTCCAGTGAATAGCGAAGGGACTCAGCCATACATATACGTATCCCTTCTCCCCCAAACTCCCCTCCCATCCAGAATGCCACATAACATTGAGCAGAGTTCCACGTGCTGTGCAATAGGTCTTTTGTTTGCTACCCATTATCAGTATAGCAGTGTGTACATGTCCATCTTAAATTCCCTAACTCTCCCTTCTCCCTGTCCTTCTCACAGCAACCATCAGATTGTTTTCTGTTAGCCTCGTTCTGTTTTGCAAATTCATTTGTATCATTTCTTTTTAGATTCCAANTACCCATTATCAGTATAGCAGTGTGTACATGTCCATCTTAAATTCCCTAACTCTCCCTTCTCCCTGTCCTTCTCACAGCAACCATCAGATTGTTTTCTGTTAGCCTCGTTCTGTTTTGCAAATTCATTTGTATCATTTCTTTTTAGATTCCAAATACAAGGGGTTTCATACAATATTTCTCCTCCTCTGTTTGACTTCCTTCACTCAGTATGACAATCTCTGGGTCCATCTGTATTGCTGCAAATGGCATTATTTCATTGTTTTTAATGATTCAGTGATATCCCATTGTATATATGTACCACGTCTTCTTTATCTAGTCCCCCATGAGTGTTTTTGGATTTCAAACTCCCACCATTAGAGAGGGACTGATTATCTTCTCATTACAGTATAATTTTCCTGAGGAAGTCCTAAGGAAGCCAAGAATCAGTTAAATCAAGAGTATATATACCCTTTAGACTGGCATTCATACTGGCCAGCCAGGGAACGCATTGACAGTAAAGCAGTGTGTGTGTGTGAGGGAGGGGGTGGACTGCTTTCTCCAGGGAAGATGGTACCTTGATCATTGTGGTATGGATCCCAGGCAGAGTCCCAGCATCTCACTGAGCTGCTTTTGCCTTCACATACATCAGCGTAAACAGATTAATTTCCATAGCACATCTTCTTTAACCTTGAACTTTCACGCTCTGCCTTTAAAATGTCATTTGTATAACACATTAAGTTTCAGGACCCTTCCAAACTCACTACCACTACTCCTTCAAACCTCCAAAGGTTTCCCAGATATTATCCTCTTGTCATCTTTTTTTTTTTTCCCCCACATTATCTTTGAAAGTGACTGTGATTATCTTTCTTGGTCTCTGCTTTATGTTCCTTTTTGAGAAAGGATTTAAGCATATATGTTCAGGGAAGAGAGAGAGAATGAGTGAATAAGCAAAAATCTGGACAGTAAGTGAGGTTTAAGGCACTTAGGATATTAAAGTTCATCCTGCCTGTTCCCATTTCACCTGCCCTGTGTGTTGATAGCATTTGCTTTAATGCAGAATGTTATCTGAAATGGTTGCTATTAAACCTGTCAGGCCTCAAGTGATCGTTCATTGTATTCAGAAAGAAGTCCAATTAAACTAGGGTCACCTACCTCAGTTTTTCCAGAATTTCTGTATAAACTAGAATCTTTGAGAGAGAAAGAATATTTACCATCTTTGCCACAGTATTGTGCCTGTTTTAACGATTTATTTGCATTATTTCTGAATGTTACAGAGCTATGTTTTTGAGGTACATCCCATCAAAGCATCATAAGTAACAATGTTTTCCAATGTGTACATTCTGGCAACTGTTTATAATTTCTTTTTAAAAGAAGTCAGTTAGATTCTTTGAGGTTTTCTGCCTAAAATTCCCATGCAGAAGTTTTTCCGTATTTTTTTTTTTTTTCGTTTTATTTTATTTTATTTTATTTTTTTAATTTTTATTAGTTGGAGGCTAATTACTTTACATCATTACAGTAGTTTTTGTTATACATTGATATGAATTAGCCATGGATTTACATGTATTCCCCATCCCAGTCCCCCCTCCCACCTCCCTCTCCACCCGATCCCTCTGGGTCTTCCCAGTGCACCAGGCCCGAGCACTTGTCTCATGCACCCAACCTGGGCTGGTGATCTGTTTCACCCTAGATAATATACATGTTTCAATGCTGTTCTCTTGAAACATCCCACCCTCGCCTTCTCCCAGAGTCCACAAGTCTGTTCTATACATCTGAGTCTCTTTTTCTGTTTTGCATATAGGGTTATCGTTACCATCTTTCTAAAGTCCGTATATATGTGTTAGTATACTGTAATGGTCTTTATCTTTCTGGCTTACTTCGCTCTGTATAATGGGCTCCAATTTCCATATTATTAAAAACAAACAAAAATATGGTAGCAAACTTTCTTATCTCAACAGCTCTTAACTTTGTTTGCAGATCTAAAGACAAACCTGTTTTTCTTATTCTAATTTGATGTTTTCCCCCTAATATTTTCTTAGGTGCAGAGAGAGCTCGCAGCTGTTATTGCTTTGAAAGCGAGGAAGTCTGGTGAGTAGTCTTTTGTGGGGCTGGAGGAAGATTCTGATTCTTTGGGGATATTTCACATGTCATGTGCTGTGAGCAGTTGAATGTATCCTGGGAAGATTTGCTCCGGAAAGCATATCTCCATTTGTTTTAAAAATTATTTATTCTACTCTCAAAATAGCACAGGCATATATACAGTTCTTTCAGATTTCACTGCCTGGTTTTATTTCATGCTTCAAGGAAAACTGAAATTCAAAATTAAAAATGTGTTTGCAGCCCACTGCAAGCATGGGTCTAGGTACCCAGCAAAAGAAAGCAAACCACTTTACATTACTTGTCATAATGACAGAGGAAAATAGATAATGTAATGGTGGTCTCTGTTTTATATTTCTCGTCTCAAAGTGGCTTCTTAAAAAAATAATTGAATTGTTTAATAACATTTCATAGCAAGTGTGTTTCATAGGAACTGATAGTATGAATCCAATTCCTAATACCTTAGGAAGCAATCTGTGAATGTAATAAGTGGAAAGGAAAAGGGAGCTTTTAGCTACATCTTGAGGAGAGAAAGTCATGCTCTGCTGAAATTAAGTATGAAACAGACAGTGAGGTAGAGAACACTTGCTTTGAAAAGAAGAATAGCAGGAGGACGCAGCCCTTGCTGTTCCGAGGAGGTTGGTGCTGAATGGAATGGCAAACAGAGGAGAGATGCTTCATGGAGAATATTAAACTAGGCTAAGACTTTTCGGGTGAAAGTACAATGACAAAATCAGAGAGTTGCCAAAGTTTGAAGAAATGCCTAGAACAGAGATGTTTTCAGAACAGAACTCATACACTTTGCATCTTCCTTTTTCTAGCTAGAAACTAAAACTTTGCTTTTCTCTCAGTGACTTTTGGGATCAAACACACCTTGTTGTGTTTGTACTATGTCTTTGTTGATTTGGCTGTTGTAGAGGATGCGGAGCCTGGATACTATGAAGGTGGTGGAGAAGAAATGTGAGGCACAGTGATCTGGATCCACAGAGCCCAGGCAGTGCAAACGGCATTAGATCGTGGGTATTTGCATAGGGGAGATCAAGAGGGAGAAAGGACACCAGGATACAGGTGGTAGGAGGGGAGTCTTAGAAATGAATTGTGCTAGAGCTGCTGTATGTTCCTACAACCATAAGGAGACAAAATTTACAGTCAGAATGAGTTGGGATGATAGTGGCTTGGAGGATAGATTTATTTTTTAAGTTTTAGAAAAAGTTGGGAAAATAATAAAATACATATAGTCTGTCATTGCTGGAGCCAAACAGAGCAAGTAAATAGCGATGGGGCTGGAGAAGGAGGTGGTGGCTAATTGACACAGTGTGGGATGGGCAGGCCCCTTGAGCAAAGACCTGAAGTCACTGGGGGGTGAGCCCTGTGGACGTCCAGGCAAGGGCATTGGGCAGAGGCGTGCAAAATGCAACGAGGTGAAAGTGGCTGGAGCAAAGTGAACCAGGCAAAAAGAGGTAGATTTCAGATGTCAGGCTGAGAAGTTTGAACTTTCTGGAGGTGAAGAGTAATGAGGAAGAGTAAGCAAGACCCATACACAGTAGACTGTGCAGAGTCAAAGATTGGTATGAAGTTGACTGTTATGCCATGAGATTAACATCTCTATTTTCCTTACTTATTTCATCCGTGGGGCTTGGAATGTCAAGACAACATTGGCAGCTTCTCAGGGACAGAATGAAACACAAATACACCAGGGATGGGGGCATAAATTCATATTTTTATTTTGACAAGTTCCATGAAAGCCCCTATTGGTAGTTTTTAAACCGTATTGAATTTATAGGTCATTAGATAAATTTGGCACTTTGGAGATAAGCGTTTCCATTCATAAATCTAGGATTTCATTCCACTTTTTTCATATCTTCAGTACTGTCTTAAAAATGTCCCCTTAAAGCTTTGTACATTTTTTTGCTTAATGTATATTTTGGTGCCTTTGGTTACTGTTATTTTTAGTGATTGTTATTTTTTTGGCTACTGGTATTTTTAGCTTTTTTTTTTTTTTTAAGTTAAGGTTTCTGTCTTTGTCTTTCATGACATTTTTCTCGAAATAAACTTTACCTTTTAGAGTAGTTTCAGTTCACAGAAAAACTGAGCAGAAAATACACAGTTCCCATATACCCTGTGTACCCACATGGCCTACTCCCTTACTGCTGTCATCTCAGAGGGGTACTTTTGTTATAGTCAATAGCCTATGTTGACACATCATTATCACCCACTCTCCATAGTTTAGGGTTCACTCTTGGTACTGTCCATCTTATGCATTTGGACTAATGTCCAATAACATGTGTTTATCATTATAGTATCACACAGAATCATTTCAGGGCCATTCTGCTCTACCTATTTATGCCTCCCTCCCCTATTTTCTGGCAATCACTTATGTTATTGTCCCCATAGTTTTGCCTTTTCCTAAATGTCACATAGTTGGAATCAGAGTAGATAGCCTTTTCAGATTGGCTTTGTTCAGTCAGTAATAGGCATTTAAAGTTCATCTATGTCTTCTACTAACGACTTGATAAGTCATTTCTTCCTAGCACAGAATAATAATCTGTTGTCTGGATGTACCATAGTTTATGTATCCGTTCACCTGCTAAAGGACATCTTGATTGCTTCTAGGTTTTGATAGTTATGGATGTTATAAAGAAACCTTCTGTAAACATCTGTGTGTATGTTTGTATATAGTTTTCATCTACACAGACACGTACATGCACACATAGTTTTCAGCTACTTTGGGTGAGTAGCAAAGAGTGTGATTTCTGGATCATGTGGTAAGAGTATGTTGAGTTCTTTAAGAAGCTGCTCCTGGTAACTCCCTTCCCGAGTCGCTGTACTGTTTGCGTTCCCACCAGCAGTGAACAAGAGTTCCTGTTGTTCTGTATCTTCACCACCTTTTGTTGCTGTCAGTGTTTCAGATTTGGTTGTTTTAGTTTCCATTTTCCTGATGGTATGTGATCTGGAATATCTTTTCATGTGCTTACTTGTTATCTTTATATCTTCTTTGATGAGATTGTTGTTAAAGTCTTTGATCCATTTTTCAGCTTTCTTGTTTTCTTGCTGAGTCTTAAGAGTTCTGTATGTATTTTTGATGATTGTCCTTTTTTGGATATATTTTGCAGGTATTTTCTCCCAGTCTCTGGCTTGTATTCTCAGTCTCTTCACATTGTCTTTGAAAGAGCAGAGATTTTTAATTTTAATAAATCAAGCTTATCTTTCTTCTCTTTTGGATCCTGCCTTTGTTGTTATAGCTAAAAAGTCATATCACACACGGAAAATTCATAGGCATATCACATCCTAGAAATTTTATAGTTTTGCATTACGTTTAAGTCTGTGATCCATTTTGAGTTCATTTTTATGAAGAGTGTTAGGTCTGCGTTTAGGTTCTTTTATGTGTGTGTTTTGTCTGTATGTCTAGTTGTTACAGCAGCATTTGTTGAAAACACTATCCTTTTTCCATTTTATTGCCTTTGCTCCTTTGCCAAAGGTCATTTGACTATATTTGTGTGGGTTTATGTCTGGTCTCTCTATTCTCTTCCATTGACCTACTTGTCTATGCTTTCACCAGTACCACACTGTTTGGATTACTGTAACTTTACAGTATTTTCTATTATCTATTATCTTTTCTAATTGTTTATTTTTCCTGTATGAGAACCGTTGTTTTTGTGCCTATAAAAAGTGTTGAACTTAAATGAATTCTAATAGCTAGTTTTAAAATTATCTTGGGTTTTCTTTATGGGCAAATATATGTCTATCAATTATGACTATTTTATCTCTGTCTTACCAACCCAAGTAACTCCCCTTTTTTCCCCTCATGCTATTTCATTAACGAGGGCCCTGTGATATATAAATTGAATAATAAAAAAGATAGTTGGCCTTCTTACTTTGTCCCTGACAAAATTAAGTTTTCTGACTAGAAAAATAGGGTAAGCAAAGAAGATCATTTTTAGAGAAAAACAGACTTTTCTGTGCCACATTCCCCAAACCACATTCCCCAAACCACATCAAATTTGGGAAACAATCGAGGGGCAAAAATAACCAACAAGATGATATTGTAATATTCAAAGAATCCAAGTGTGGACTTCAGGAGATACCCACCTGATTCATCCTACACTGTTGCTGCTTGATTTGACATTGAGAGTTGGTGAAAAATAATAGTGGCAAAGTATGAGAACCTAACTCATAAGTGTTGCTTTTATTCCTTTATCAGATTCTGACTGAACACCTATTCTAGGGCATTGACGGTACAGTGGTGAGCAAAGACAGATATGGCTCCCTGCTATTTTAAAATCACAATGTTTATTTCATAGATAAACATGAGTAAGTCAATGGCTGTCTGAAAAAGGATAATGTATTACTGTGTAGTTAGGAGGGGATAAAATGAAGACCTATTAAACACAGCCTTAATTAAACAGGGTTTTAGCTGCAGAATGGTACTCTTTGTTTTTTAAAAACAAAATTATTTTGATTTTTTTAAGGTAGGATAAAAAGAAATTGGTATACTTCTAATAAAAAATATTAAAATAGCAGGCACATCTGGGGCTTGACAAAAGGAATTGATTGCCTTAATATCTGTCTTGCAGTAGAACTGTTAATTAGGGCTCAGGTGGTCATGCCAGATTTATGTCTCTCTGTGAAGGGTTGTTAAAATAAGAATTAGTATAAAGAAAAAGTTTTTGGTTTCAGCTCTCTGTACAAACAGAAATAAAAGTAATTGCCAATTGATAGATTATATAGATGATTCAAGGATCTAGCTTTGTAAAAAATCTATTTTGTTGTTATTTTCTAAGAAGCCATTAGGATGTGCCTTTAAACAGTTTTCTCCTCTAAATGCTAACCTTAGTGAATGTGAATAGCATTTTAAGGCTTCACACGCTTTTAAGATGTGCAGATATCCTTGCACTTGTTTCTTTTTTGTTGAATTGCTATTACTAATTGTTAGACAGTTAGGAGGCAATGGCCCCCCACTCCAGTCCTCTTGCCTGGAAAATCCCATGGAC